GTGACTGTGACGGCGAGGGTGAAGGTGACGGCGAGCGGCGGCGGCGGCTGGACCTCCACCGGCCCCGCGAGCGGCCACGGAAACGCCCGCCGACCGATTCCGCTGATCTCGGTACGTCTGCTCACGTCATCTCACGTCATCGACATCATCCGACGCTGCGATGAAAACCGGATCACACTGAACCCTGCGAAGTTCCGGTTCGCTCGGCAGGAGGTCGACTTCTGCGGGTATCGAGTGACTCCCGCGGGATACACGTCAGACGGCGAGAAACTCCGTGCCATCGCCGAGTTCCCACGGCCACAGAATATCACAGATCTGCGGTCCTTCCTGGGCCTAGCTACTCAGCTGGGACCTTTCTCATCCGACCTGGCCGATGCTGCTAGTCCACTTCGAGACCTGCTGAAGAAGGGCCGACTTTGGTGCTGGACGCCTGATCACGAGGCCGCCTTCCGTGACGTGAAGAGTGTGCTGTCAGCACCACCGGTTATGGCATACTTTGACCCGAGTCTGCCTACCGTGCTGCAAACTGATGCCTCCAGCACCCGTGGCATGGGCTTTGCGCTGCTGCAGCGTCACGGCGACGTGTGGCGCCTGGTTCACTGTGGCTCCCGATTCTTGACGGACGTGGAGACGCGTTACGCCGTCATCGAGATCGAGATGGCTGCATGTCTGTGGGCATGCAAGAAGTGCCACATGTATATAGCCGGCCTGCCTCAGTTCGACATTGTTGTCGATCACAGACCGCTCGTGTCCATCCTCAACTGCAAAAGGCTTGCAGACATCGAAAATCCGCGACTGCAGCGGATGCGCCTCAGGCTGACTTCATATTGCTTCATCGCGAGCTGGCAGCGGGGCGCCGATCACAAGATCCCAGATGCCCTGTCACGGGCGCCTGTCAGTGACCCGACAGCAGGGGACGAGGTGGCGGAGCCGGATCCGGATCCGCTGCATTCTGCGGTGATCGCCGCTCTCCAGGCCGAGAGCACCGCAGAAGATGGAACGCTGCTGGCGCCACTGATGGACCCGGCGCTGGAGAAGGTCAGGGCCGCCGCCTCACGTGACCCGGAGTATATGAAGCTGCGCGGCGTGGTAATGCACGGATTCCCGGACCACTGCCATGAGCTACCACCAGAGGTGCGTCCGTACTGGGGCGTGCGCAGCATGCTGGCCGTGGACGATGGACTGCTTGTGTACGGGTCGAGGCTCGTAATTCCGTCGGACATGCGGCGTGAGGTGCTGCGCCAGCTGCATGCGTCCCATCAGGGAATCGAAAGAACCCGTAGACGCGCGCGTCTCTGTGTTTACTGGCCTGGCATAGATAACGACGTCGCGAACATGGTGTCGTCCTGCAACGTGTGTCGCGCAATGCGACCCAGTCAGCCCCGAGAGCCGATGTGGCAGGAGGATCCGGCACCGGCACGAGTCTTCGAGTCAGTGTCTGCAGACTTCTTCCATGTCGCTGGCCGCACCTTCCTTGTGTGTGCTGATAGGCTGTCTGGATGGCCGTACGTCTCTGTGTGCCGCCGAACTGCGTCAGCTGACCAGCTGACTCGTGAACTCCGCCATCTCTTCTCTCTGATGGGAGTGCCTGCCGTACTGAGGAGCGATGGAGGACCACAGTTTGCCTCGTCAATATTACGCCGCTTCTTAGAGAAGTGGGAAGTGAACCACCAGATGTCGTCCCCTGGTCACCCTCAGTCCAATGGACACGCTGAGGCAGCCGTCAAGGCCGTCAAAAAGCTGGTGATCGCAGCGTCACTAAGAGGGACGCTCGACGAGGAGCAGTTAGATCGAGGTCTGTTGGAGATAAGAAATACACCTCGAGCCGACGGAAGATCTCCAAACCAGGTGCTGTTCGGCCATCCCGTCCGGACGCCGCTGCCGGTTCACCATCGTGCATTCGCACCGCAGTGGCAGCGAATGGCAGATGAGTGTGACGCACGAGCTGACAAGCTGCATCAGGAGGCCCGTCAGCGCCACGACAGGGATACCCGTCCCCTGTCACGACTGGGCATCGGCAGCAGGGTGGACGTGCAGGACCTGACAACCGGGCGGTGGGACCGCACCGGCATCGTGGTGGCCATCGGGGCCCGCCGATCGTACTCGGTAAAGATGCCGAGCGGGCGCCTGTATTGGCGGAACCGGCGTTTCCTGCGGCCGCACCGCCCGCTGGTCTCCGAGACGGCGGCGGACTGTGCCACACAGCGGCCATCGACTCGATCAGCTCGGTCGGAGCGCGACCAGCTGGCCGGTGGTGCCGTGGTGCCGCAGCCAGTCGGGCCCCGCCGCGCGGACACGGCCGTTCCTGCGCCGGCGCCGGCCCTGCGCCGCAGTACGCGACCCCGTGGTCCGCCTCGCCGGTTACAAGTACGGTGGGGAACCACAACATACGAGTAGGCTTTACAAGTACTGCGGGCGGAAAATGTGTTTGTTATTTGGTATCTCCAGTCAAGTTGTTTGCTTTGAGACGCTTCACTACTGTTCTTTTGTTTGTTTGTCACGTCAGCGTCTGGAGGGAGGTGATGTGATGTGATAGACCCTCCCGTCAGAGCGGCTGGGTCCGCCCCTGCTACCAGGGTCGCGGGGCGCTGCCGGTGTCAGGGTCAGTTGGCTCGGCTGCGTGCCGGGGTGCGCACGCTCGTGTGTGTAGTGCCGTGTAGTGTCCCGATTCCGAATACACTCGACCGTAACTCAACAGGTCGCCGTAGGGTCGCCGTGCTCCGCCCGGCCGCACCGCTGACACCGCCCCTGCTCCGGCCCCGGGTCGCCGGCACTTGGCGCTCCGCCAACGGCCCTCGCCGCCCGAACGCGGCGGACATCGGAGCCGGGCCCACCGCGGATGTCGGTACACGCGGTGCGGGCGTTTTCGCATGCACGACAGATGTCGATAGCGCGCTGCAGAGTAAGGTCTTTTGCTTCCAACAAACGACGCACAGCCTCATCATCACCGGCGCCGCACACGATTCGGTCCCGAATCTGATCGTCCACACAGTGAGAGCAAAAGTCACAGAATGCCGCAATCTCTCGCACACCACACAGAAAATCATCGAATCGCTCACCGGTCTGCTGGCACCGAGCGTAAAAATCACGTCGATCCACCACGACATTCCGCTGTGCTCGCAGATGAGCCTCCATAGACTGCAGAACGTCGTCGAGAGGAGTGTCATCGCTCACATTAAGTCCGTATCGCAGCGTCCGTTGCCACTCATCGTCCAGCAGGCCCAGGAGCGCCGCTCGCTGCTCCTTCAGCGGCAGCGTGGACACGCCAGTCAGCATGAAGTAGGCGGAGAGCTTCTCACGCCACGCCGAAAACTCACGGAGATTGGCGGCGGCGTGGAGGTGTGGAGACGGTGTCGAAGACAGCGGCAGTCGGGGGCGTGCCGGGCCGCCGGCCCCGGCGGCGGTTACTGCAGATTCAGGCGGGGCGGCAGTCCTGGTCGGTGAGGCCATCACCAGTTGCTCCACCATGGCAGCCAGCCGCCCCTCCCGCTCGGCTGAGTCCTCGGCCTGCTTGACCAGCAGGGCGGATAAACGCTCCACGTCCGATAGTTCCTCGCCCGACCGCGCCATGTTGAGTTACGGTCGAGTGTATTCGGAATCGGGACACTACACGGCACTACACACACGAGCGTGCGCACCCCGGCACGCAGCCGAGCCAACTGACCCTGACACCGGCAGCGCCCCGCGACCCTGGTAGCAGGGGCGGACCCAGCCGCTCTGACGGGAGGGTCTATCACATCACATCAAATGTGTGACGTCAGCACAAATCTAACGATTTTAAATCTTTTACTAAAACGTTCGGTAGCACGCGGTGGTCTATGCTGCTTTGTGCGCAACAAGTGCCGTACTTTCAAATAAAGTCGCTAGGAACAGCGGATATCCCAAACAGTAAACAAAAGAAGTCTAATATCTTACAAACCAGTGAATATTTCTCGATATTCGTTTTCGCTCTTTCTGAACCGAGCGACATCACTTTCATGCCAATTCATTAACTTTTTTGAAGGTGGGGGAGGGTCTCTAACCTGCGAGTTGCTGGGGGGGGGGGCGTTAAACGCCCCCACTTTTTTGCCGCGCTATAGTATATAAAACGGCGCGCCAAATTTAGGATACCTGTAGGGAATTGTTTGAAGTTTATTGTGACAAGTTTTAAAAAATCGGTCGGAAAATTTTTGAGATAGTGAGGGTTTAGTGACGTCATGATTTCTGAGTTTTCGACCAAAAATTGCATATGTTCAAAAAATCATATAAAATCACAGAATAGACATACAGACATGCGGTAAACGCCATTAGAGTGCCAATACCATGAACAATGAAATGGCTATCTTCGATTTCTGATTATCGTTCCGCATTTTCCAAAATCTTGAACTGAATCTTAGCAGTTTCGGTGACTACTCTACGACCATGATACATGCATTTCTTAAATTGGACTTTTTGAACCAAACACGTACACATATGATAAAATGAATGTCACCATCGTGTTCTACGCCAAAAATTACCCATAGGTAAAACAAGTGTCACAGGCTGCGAATATCAGTTTTGATTTTCGGGGATATGTGCCTACCTGGTTGACCTGACCTTGACCCTGACCTATGCTTGACTGACCCCTACATGGATCTGACACTCTTGTAGGCCTTATATGAAGGATTGTGCACCGTTTTGACAGAGTTTATGACGAGAGGCGCCCATTGCTAGGTTCTGAAGTCCATGCTACTGAAAGCCCGATTTCAGGTGATTGACCTGACCTTGACCCGACCTGTGACCTCAAAATTCAACTTTACAGTACTCATCTGAAGCGTCTCGTCGCGTTCTTTCGTTTGCCGCCTCGTGCGTTTCGCTGCGCCTTTTGGTTGTCGAGTTATCGGCTGGGGGCGTTTAACGCCTCCCCCCCCTTCCAGTGCAGCGGTGGATTTCCACTGCCCGAACACCCACAATACCCTACAACGCTCCACCTATGCAAGCGATTACCACTGACTTATATTACAAGCAAACGCATTTTTCAGCTTTGGGCCGAACTGGCACGCCTGAGGGGAAACGCCGAACCGGGGAGTGGGCCGGCCCTGTTCAACGAGGCACGCCAGAAGCTCACGGACTTCCTGGAGCTGGTCCGACAGGAGGTGGGATGTGCCCCCGCCGCAGGGCTGAAAAAAGTGTTTCGGTGGTTGTCGTCCGAAGGAAAACGGGCTTATTTGGTTGTCGGCTAAAGATGTCTAACCCGTGCCCCGCTGAGGGTCCTTGATTTCCATGCCCTGCTGGGGGGGGGGGGGGGGGGGTACAACACCCCGCTCTTTTAACTCTGATCCTGGGTCAAGCAGTGTTAAGCAGTAAACGGCATTCGGAAGAACGTCCAAAATAAGGATGAAAATATGTCATTCATTTGTTAGATCAAGTCAAAGGTCAGGTCACCAGATGCCATTAACCCGGCAGTTGCTGGGGTATTTCGCCACCCACCGTTTGCTGGGGGGGGGGGGGGCGTTAAACGCCCCCAGCCGATAACTCGAGAACCAATAGGCGCAGCGAAACGCACGAGGCGGCAAACGAAAGAACGCGACGAGACGCTTCAGATGAGTACTTTAAAGTTGAATTTTGAGGTCACAGGTCCGGTCAAGGTCAGGTCAAACACCTGAAATCGGCCTTTCAGTAGCATGGACTTCAGGACTTCGCAATGGGCGCCTCTCGTCATAAACTCTGTCAAAACGGTGCACAATCCATCATATAAGGCCTACAAGAGTGTCAGCTCCATGTAGGGGTCAGTCAAGCATAGGTCAGGGTCAAGGTCAGGTCAACCGGGTAGGCACATATCCCCGAAAATCAAAACTGATATTCGCAGCCTGTGACACATGTTTTATGGGTAATTTGTGGCGTAGAACACGATGGTGACATTCATTTTATCATATGTGTACGTGTTTGGCTAAAAAAAAAAATCAAATTTAAGAAATGCATGTATCATGGTCGTGAAGTAATCACGAGAAATTGTCAAGATTCAGTTCAAGATTTTGGAAAATGCGGAACGATAATCAATAATCGAAGATAGCCATTTGATTGTTCATGGTATTGGCAGTCTAATGGCGTTTACGGCATGTCTGTATGTCTATTCTGTGATTTTATATGAATTTTTGAAGATATGCCGTTTTTGGTCGAAAACTCAGAAATCATGACGTCACTAAAACCTCGATATCTCAAAAATTTTCCGACCGATTTTTTTTTGAAACTTTGTCACAATAAACTTCAATCAATTCCCTACAGGTACGCAAAATTTGGCGCGCCTGCGGCGCGCCCTATGGCCCGGCGAAAAAAGTGGGGGCGTTTAACGCCCCCCCCCCCCCCCAGCAACTCGCGGGTTAAATGAAAAATATTGCCTTTTTCAACTTTTTTCTTCGAAACACCGGCCCACGACTCGGGAACCAATTATAGAGCTACGGCGCCGCGGAAAAGATTCGATAGCCCTTTTGACCCGCCTTTCAGTGACTCTTCGACGGTGCCACTGGTCGACTTCCACTCACCTTTCAACAAAACGTGCTCAAGTTAGTACAAGCACAAGTCGTGCAGACGCCACGGACCCTGCGTGCGAATACATTCTAATTCCTCTCCTTCTTGATAGCGCAGGGCGCTCAGCTGTCAAGCTCAAATGTCCGACGATCCCTATTCCTCGACCTCGGAAGTCCCGAGACACCATATCCTCGTGGGCATGACATGGCGTGCCCTCCCCGCATCAAAATATTACCGGCACTGGCGCGGTCCCGCCGCGAACCTACCCCCAGGCGCCGCCGGGGGTGGGTACGACGTCACAAAAGGAGCCCCGGCGGATTGGAGGGGACGCTAACTGACCGCCGGCCGGGGGCGGCGCTGAAGGGTGCGGGCAGGGGCCGGCCGAGTCCTGGAAGGTACTAGATTTGCCAGACACGTGTTGCCAGTGGACAACCACGGCGACCAGGTATGTCATTGGTCGCCTTTATGAGGGTCGCCGGTCGGCCGTCCGAACGATGGTCGAACGACGCAGTATATACTAGATAGCTACGGGGAGTTGGAATATGTCTGTAGCTACCAGGAAATTTTCCACTGGCGGATGCCTCCGCGTAGGGTGGTAACGGACTCGAGAACTGCGAGTCGATTTGATGGGGAGGGACAGAGAATGGTTTGCGTGGGAGAGGCGATTGGGTTGGGTGGGCAGATACGAATGGATTGCGCGCTTCTAACCGCACTAAGCGGGAGGTCTAAATCAGTTCAGGCGCTGCGCGTGGTCGCCATAAGATCGTCTTCTCGGTTGTCGTCGACAACGACAAAACGATACAATTTTTCACCCCGGGCCCCCGGTAAGCTTCCTTCAGTTATTCTCTCTCTCCCTCTCTCTCTCTCTCTCTCTCTCTCTCTCTCTCTCTCTCTCTCTCTCTCTCTCTCTCTCTCTCTCTCTCTCTCTCTCTCTCTCTCTCTCTCTCTCTCTCTCTCTCTCTCTCTCTCTCCTCTCCTCTCTCCTCTCTCCTCTCTCCTCTCTCCTCTCTCCTCTCTCCTCTCTCTCTTTCTCTTTCTCTCTCTTCTCTCTCTCCTCTCTCTCTTTCTCTCTCTCTCTCTCTCTCTGTCTCCGTCTCTCTCTGTCTCTGTCTCGCTCTCTCTCACTTACATTCTCTTCCTCTCTGGAGAAGAGTTTACATCAATTCCTCCCCCGTGCTGCGATAATTACTGTAAGAGAAACGAAATATAGTGAGGATTTTTGTGTACCTCGGGTGGCCGCTCGCCCAGTCGAGATGCAAAGTTTATAGTTACACGAAGCTCTGAATACACGGCCTCTGAATACACGACTTCGAAATTAATCGATTTTCAAAGCCCTTTTCTTTCATCTAGGTATACATAGATTTAACAATAATTCTTGACTAGGCTGATTTGGCTGGCCCTAAATAACCTTCGTGCAACTATTAACTTTGCATCTCGACTAGCGCGAGCGGTTAAAACAACTGCAGCCCTGGAGTGGGTCCCGAAAGGCTAAGCGCTAGACAGGGCTAACCCATCTGAAGAATAAAACGCCAGGACCAGAAAGATGCCACAATTTCAACGCTGGACACCCCAGTAGCATATGTGACGAGCTCCGTGTAGAAATCGGTTGGAAATATTGATCCTTGTTGCGATGACTAGTGTACAACCCTGCTGGGATGGCTGGTGACGATCAGTCACTTTCCAGTTATGTTTAAGATTATACAAGGCTCTTAAGTTTTTTTTTCGTTGCTGTATGTTCCAGAGGAGGCAGCAGACTACTTGTGCTCTGTCTTCAATGAAGAGGATGCGATCTTTCCCGATGAACGGCCAGCGAGCGGCCCGCCCGTCATCGCGGACAACTCTATTTTTGTTGAGGGTGTGAAAGTGTGTCCGCTAACGAGTGATGGGAAAGCAGAGCAGCTGTTGGCGTGGGGGGCGAGCTTCGCGGTCTACGCCCAGAGGCCCACCGCGCGAAAATTTGAAAATCTAGCATGCCTGCTCACACGGTATGTACTCAAAACAGACGAATGCAAGGCTCCAAAAATGTTGGAGAAGGTTCTGAAAGGGAAACTTCCCATGACGTAGGAAGCTGAAGTTTTCCCATGACATCGACGGCTGGCACAAGCCCGCCGCCATGCGCGCCCTTTGAAGCTTTTTCGTACATATCGCACAGGTCGCCAGATGCCTGCGGTTGAGGCTTTCGTTGTGGGGTCACCGGTCCACGGATCGGTGAAGCTGGAGCGGCAGGCCGCCGCCGCCGCCAGCGCCAAACGTCGACGAGTTCAGATAATACATTATGCTACCGCCCAGAATGTCTCTAGCGGGTATTCCTGCAAATGCTTTATCCAGATCAGGGATAAATCCAATTGATTTGCGATGTGCGTGGTGGCTCGAACCTTGCACGACCCACTATTGGCTGAAATGTCTAAGAATAGCTGGTCCTGCACCTAGTGTAAAGTAGACAGACTTTCTGTGCCGCACTTATCCGATTATATACACACACATGCTTTTAACATACTTTTGGAAGAATATGTAACTAAAACGTACATTAAAATCGCCACTTGATTATAAATGTGTAATTCACTTGTCTTATTTTCTTGCAGAGGATTCTGTGGCTTGCTGTCTGCTGGGGAGTAGTTTTGGTCTTTCGTAGAGAGCATACCTGCCAGAACTGGTCGGCATTGTGCATACAGATGTATTTTATCGCATCTTAGAAAGTAGATTTTACTCTTTCTGTAAAGAATGCCCCCCTCAGCGGGTATACAGGACCCACAAACGTTTTTTATCACCTTACAGAGAGGATATTCTACTTCTTCCGAGCCAGTGTGTCCTTCAGAGCCGCGGGTACGCATTTGTCATATACACGACTCTTATGGATACACTACATCGGAAAAGGTAAAAATTGGTTTGCGTAAGATACTGAAAAACGTTTGTGGGCCCTTCTACCAGGCTCTGGGGTATATTCTTTCCACAAAAGAATAAATTCTATTTGTATTTGAAGGCATACATGCGGTAAATACGTCTGTGGGCCATGCTACCATGCTCTGGCTGGTTTACTACCTAGGAAAGAGTACTACTACTACCTAGCAGAGGGTAAGCCATAGGATTTGCTCTAAGTTTGAGTGTAAATCAAAAACGTAGATGACCCCCTCTGGAAGGGTGATTCCCTATGAGAGAGTAAAATTTATCCCCAGGTTTGGGGTATAAGAAAGCGTCTGTGGGCCTTACTACCATCCTCTGGGGGGTAAACACGGGGGGAAAGAGTAAGCATTACCATTTGACTGAGGGTAAGCCAGAAGGGTACACTCACTGTAAGAGGGTAAATCACAGAATAGATGGCATGCATACTCTTTAGAGTAGGGTCACATGAAAGGCTTACCCTTCCACAGAGTGTAACTTCGAAAATGTTAACCTCTAGACAAGAGTAAATCAAAATAGTTTACCACACAGAAGATGGTAAAAAACGTCTGTGTGTCACGTTACCCCTCCCTGACGAGTTTATTCTCCATGAAAGAGTAAAATTTACCATCTGGAAGGTGGTAAAAAACGTCTGTGTGTCAAGCTACCATTCTCTGGGGGGTAAACTCTTTGGGGAAGAGTAAGCATTACGATTTGACTAAGGGTAAGCCAGAAGGGTATATTCTCTGTAAGAGGGTAAATCACAGAGTAAATGGCATGCTACTCTTTAGAGGAGGGTCACGTTAAAAAGTTATCCTTCCACAGAGCGTAACTTCCGAAAATGTTACCCTCCAGACGAGAGTAAATCAATAGAGTTTACCATGCAGAAGATGGTAAAAAACGTCTGTGTGTCACGTTACCCCTCCCTGACGAGTTTACTCTCCATGAAATAGTAAAATTTACCATCTGGAAGGTGGTAAAAAACGTCTGTGTGTCAACCTACCATGCTATGGCGGGTTTACCCTCCAGGAAATGGTAAAAAAGTTTTCAGTGCATCGCTCCTGATGAACTTTGCGGCAAAGGCTTTGTTGAGAACGTTAGCTTTATCCATGTCGTCAAATATCTCTACGCCGTCCACCACTAACGCCGACAAACCCCGATACCCGCCCCTCGTGCTCTTCAGAAACGACCAGAACCGTTTCGGCATGGTGTGTCGTTTGGGGAACTAGCGACCCGCGGCCGGGCGCCGCGAAGAGGTGCCCACCATAGGGTTTTGGGGCTATTTTTTCACGTTTCGGTCTGAATCGCGAGAAGTACTGGTCGTAGCAAATATGTTCCCTGGTTTCTGAATTTTCAGCTCACGTGGAATGCGATAGGACAAGAGTCATTTTCGTACAGACAAAACTGTGCCCGCGTTTTTTGGTCAAAGTAAAAATGTTCAGCAGCTTTTAACACGTGGGCCGCCGCAAAACAGGGTACACCGGAGGACTTAAGATTCAATATCTCCTAAGCCATCATAGATAGCAAATATGTTCCCTGGATCTATGTAGATAATACTTTAGAGAACACTTCAGGCCAAAAATTGTTTCTCGACAACTTACACCCAGCCCGCGTTTTTGGCTTAAATGCAATGCAACACGGCAGCCGACCTTCAGGGCTCAGTTAGCGAGTTTATTTTTTAGCGAGCACTTCGAGCATTTCAGCGTTCGATGAAATGACATATTTTTTCAACGCAGTCGTTTCTTCATTTGCATCTTAACGCGACCTATATGATAATGTGACGGTATCGTCACACTAGAATGTGTAATTCATCGTAATTTATAGGGCTAATTCTCGGCGCACAGCAGCAGACGGACACCGACTGACCCACCATCTAAAGGCAGTTTGGCGAAGCAGTATCGTGAATCACAGCCGCGAGATGTCCCTAGCGTAGAACACCGTCTGTTTGCCTAGTTTAAATACGTGATGTTTGCCCTCTGTCAACCCTCAGTCATGGGGCTGGGGTCGCGGATGAATGGGCGACCGCCCGCCGCGCGGGGAGGGGGCTGCTCCCCTGACCCGGACCGCCACGGCGTGGGGACGATCCCGCACTCGCGTGCCTCACGTCGCCGCCTCACACCGGTCAATTACGCTGGTTTTGAGGAACCGCTCATTGTGGTAGTGGGTGATCCAACGCAGACCATGCCAGAACCCCACTGAAGGGGTGTCACCCGTGTCAGCTGGCTCAGACCCATGATTTCCCCTGTCCCCATACCGAAAGCGACGTTCCAAAGAGCAATATGCGTATACCTAGTAGGTAGGTATTATTGATGTTTAATTCGAGAATGTAGGTATGCATGTAAGTACATACCTAGAGGAGACCCGGGACCGGGAGGTATGGGCCCCCTGGAGGTATGGGCCATCGCAGTTTTGAAGAAGTGTTGCGTATTTTTACACATTTGATCGCGTAAACTGGTAGCAGCCATTCCGCTATACAACCCACGTGATTTCCAAAATTTTCCTCAATCTTCTTTTGCAATGAGCGGTGGGGTGATAAAGCGTTTTTGCCAAGGCCATAAATAGTGTTTTGCCCTCTTCGAGTAAAATACGGTACATTCCTATAGAAAATTCGCGATAAATTTGAACCAGGCTCGTTTTATGATGTCAGACCATCGGTGATATAAAGTTTAAAGCATGCAAATTAAGACTGGATAGACAATATGAAGCTTTCTTGCAAGATTATGAGCTGAGATGCTACGCACATTCTGGCGTCCTAACCGAGAGGTTCGGGCCACCCACCCCCGTTGATCCTAAATCAATAAAATGATGCCTTCATTGAATGTCCTCTTCATTTTCAATTAGTTTTATTGTTGTCGCGTAAGGTCGAAAATTTAACTACAAATTTCATTCGAACAGAACAATATTATTTATCTTCTTTCATGGAGCATGATTGAGTTTACCAAAATACATATGTGCCCACGTGACCCCCATGAAGTAAGCTGTTGGCCGCTTGTGCGGTTCCTGAGCTCTAAGAGAGATCAAGGTAGATACCAGCTACGAGTATGTTCTCATTATCGAGAAAAGAATATGAAACATGGCACCGGCCCATACCTCCCAGGCCATGGCCCGTACCTCCCGGTGTTTTTTTGATGGATCGAAAAAGCGCATGATTTATTGAAAGTTATCTCGAGACAAAATAGTTGACCCCAGATGCCTAATATCAGGCACACTTTGCAGGCGAAGGGCAATTTCACGTACACAGAGTGAAAAACCGGGTCTAGCCACTTCCCACTGGAAGAAAATTGCCTTTTCACAAAACCGTCCATACCTCCCTGGTCTTTCCTACATGATGTGCTTAAGTACCCCAACTGTACAACTTTGCCCTCTCAGCCCGAGGCATAACCTTCTTTTTTTACTTTAACGACAGATTGTTAGTGACTTAGCACTCGCACTTATAGCGGGGTCGAACGGACCCCCCTCCTGGGTTTCGCGAATAATTCGCGCAAAAAGCGGCCGATCCAGACGAAACTTTCAGTACCCTCAAGTTAATCAATTTTACACATATTTTTAAAATCATTGACCCTGACCCCAAATCCCAATGACCTTTGACCCGTGGTCTGATTCTCGAGACCATGTTCGACCGGAATCGCGAATTGGCGTATGTCGGCTCACATTATCCGCGTAATTTCCAATCTTTTTGTGGTGTGGGTTTCAAGGTCACGTGAAGGTCAGGTCAAGGTCATTGACCTTTGATGACCTTGCTTCACTTTTTCGAGTTTTACATATTTCTAGGGCAGTTTCTGGAGCTGATTTCGAATTCCCATTTGAAGATTTATGAAGTAGTTTTGGTGCTATCGTAACACGCTACGAAGCTGTCAGTGGTGGTCAACACCTGCTATGGATGGCCGGCAGGTCTCCTACTGGTTGACCTGACCTGACCTGACCCGACCTGGCCTAAATACATTAAGACATCATAAGTATGTGATCAAAACTAACATGAACTACGTGTTCAGCACCCCGCAAAATTCCTTTTTCAACATCACTTTACGAGCATCCAGCAAGTCCCGATTTTTCCGATTTTTGGGTCATTGACCTGACCTGGAAGGTCAACCAATGACATAAATAAGACCATAAAATTGGGTATCATCGGCT